GCAATATAGCTCATATACAGTGGAATCCGTTTTCTATGTCCGCGTATCTCAGAAGGGGTTGAGTCGTCACCAGGTGCGTTGCGAGCTTCAGTCTAATACTAAAAGTAAGAGGGTAGCGAAATAACTTCGCGAAGTTGTACTTTTGCACACGAATAATCTTTCCTTTGATTATTTCAACGCTTTCAACTCTCATTCTTAAAATCCTTACTTCAATCAGGCTTTACTTCGTTTCTATTCATTATCTCTCATATCATATAGTACGTCGGAAAATCATCGATCATTTGCGAGTGCAAGAGAAAAATGTTCGTGAAACAAAGTTAGCCCAACACAAGTTCCTATTGAGTGCCGCGTAATTGCACTGTGCGCCGTTGGCTCGATTCTCGCCAATCTACAGTCTAAGCGCCTGCGCTAGCAGACGCGCGGCTTAGTCACATGACTAATTCGATACACACTATTTCGCTTAATGGCCTCAAACAGACCCCAATTACACGACACGTGGACTTGAACCACGTCAAGTTCTTCATTTTCAAGTAAAAAAATTAAATTATAATTATTTTAAAAACATAATTAGTTTTCATAACTCGAAAGTGAAGAACTTTGCGAAAAAGTGTTATACATTATAAAAGTCTTAAAATATTTCAAAAAATATGTCTGAATTTTTAAAAATTTTTTTTGATCATTTTTGGTATATTTGATTTCTGACTAATTTCAAAAATTCAAAAATTTCCCCGGAAAATTTTGAAAAAATTCAGGGGTATTTTTTGAACAATTGTAAGAACTTTTTCTAAGTCAAGTTTTTTTCCTAGATGCTTGGTTAGCATATAAAAAAATTGACCAAGTTTATACATTGTTTTTTTTACGAGGCGCCATTTTGTTGTCCACCATGTTGAATTTTGATATTGTAACTATTGGACTTTCATGTCTACACTCCATGGACGCAAAAAATATGTGTTAGACCCACGGATCAAGTCTCTTTTGATTCGAAAATTCAGGTCGAATCAAAATTTTCAAAAAAATCGTGTTTTTTGTTCTTCTTTCTTGGGAATTGGGCAGATTTCTGTCATCTTGAATTGTTCTGTCACTATAACAGACATTATTACTTCGTTTATTATGTAAGCCAATGCAGGCGCAATATGACGTGAAGTAAGTTTCAAAACTGAAGCGTGTATACCATCACATCCTCCAGATTTATTATTAAACTGCATAATTATATTATACACCTCCACTTGATATGTTGGGAGCATATAAATGGTATTGCTATTAAACATAACATTTGTCATATTCTGCGCATCTATTGATACACTACAGAAGTGTTTATTAAAAAAATTAGCTTTGGTGTAGTTGTTATTAGTCAATACTCCATCAACATTTACTTAGCCAATATGTCGATTTCCAGTTTTTAGACCAAGTGTCCTGTGAGCATACTGCCACAACTTTTTAGGGTTACCTTTTCCATCTGTTTCTTCTCATACCTGTTCTTGGCATTGCGCAAGAACATCTTGAACTCGTTATTGTATTTCATGTACAATATTTTTTTTGCACGATTCGTTAGATCATTCTTCCAATTTTTGTAGAATCTGTTTTTCATATTAGCTGAGTTAATTAAGGTTTTTGTAATCCAAATTTTTCTGGAATTATTCTTCGAAGTAATCGGCAGCATGGATCTAGCATAAATATTCTTTAGCTTACTAATTAGGAGATGCAATGATTCTTCTATGTTGTTCTTGCTACACACTTGTTGCCAGTTTTCCATCTTGCAATTATTTATAAACATTCTCTCAGAAAATTTATGTTTTTTTGTCATCTTTATCAACATCGCTACCACTGTCAATTGCAATCATGATCGAATAATGATCTGTGATCATATTCAGGTATCTTGCAGGGAATGTATTTAAGGGGGGAAAGGCACCTAAAATCTAGAAAAAAAATTTTTTTTCATTGACTTTTTTGATAGGATTTTTCCTCGGCTTTCCAGTGCCGTGATCGGAATTTTAAAATGTTAACTGTACCGTGATGTACAGGTTATTTAGTACCGATACTTTTACCATTATTTAGAAAAAATGAATGAAACGACTCAAAGATATATCGTGGCCAATCTGTCATGAATCTCGAGACTTTCATAAGTCCGTAGCGCCATCTATTGATACTCGTTTTATTCTTTGGTTAGAGTAAATCCAGCAGAAATTTGTTTGTTTACACGGCTATAGGTGTACAGTAACGCCACCACTCGCAGCACGTGGGTTTCGGCATATCGTCTGTCTCTCTCTGTTTCGTGCACGAGCCCTGATCAAATGTCAACAACAGTCTGCTGACTGCTTCTTGATTTTCCAATGGCAAAAAATTACATTTTTTTTAAAGTGAAAAAAGTATATGTGGAGTGCAATTATATCTTTGCAACTCAACATAGTGTGACATTTTTAGCAGTTCTAATTCAAGAAATACAGAAGTACATATGTAAATTGACATATATACATCGGTGTATATGTATGTCACTGTACGTTATGTATGTGTAAATGACTGTATCATATATATTATTGTATGTTGCATGTGATGAACAAGATTAGTGATAATTAATCAACTTGTAGTGATTTATTTCCAAGTATCTAGTGATAAATGTTTTATGAATGTTAGTGAATAGGTAGAAGACTGGGTTCAAGTTCTAATGTGAGATTGTGTATATTTGTGTGAAAAGTTGATTTGGAATAATCAACTTACTTACCAGTTTCCACATAAAACCCATATTAGCGTATACTAACATTTTAGTACAACTTATAAAATGTAGTAATGAAATTGGCGCATTTGGCTTTGTGTGGCTGTCTGGGATAATTGAACATTGTCCTTGTGGGTCCAATATGTTAAAAATTCAAATTGAATTACTGTTCTTTATCGTCCAAAAAGTTTTAAGCAGCCTCAGTGACATGAGAGTATCATTATGACATATATTGATGTATTTTGGTTTTTTTCAACTCTTGGGCAGTTACGTTTTATCTCAAAATTGCTTTGTTGCCGTAACTTTCCATGTAAACCGTTTGAGCAAATGAGCTGAAATTTTCAGGGATTGTTCTACATGAGAATGGCTGCAAACGCAAGCACTTTCAAAGGTATTGGGACAAATGAGCACTTTTTTCAGGCTATGATGTAGCATAATCTGTCATTTTATCATATATATTAATGAATAAATGTGTATATGTGGCTGGCAAATTGTGTATAACTAATTGAAAAATCTGAAAGTGCTTGCGTTTGTAACCACACATCTAATGATCAAAATGAGACCCCAAGGACCATGATTGAACTATCGGTTCTAGCTGGATCCTACGGTCCTGACAGGTACAGGGGTACCTGTCAGGACTGTGGGCTTGCTTCATCGAGGAGGGTTCTATGGTGATTGGGACTCAATTTTCATATTCCAGAGTGAAAAACGTTGAAAAAAGAGTGAAGAAAACAGAGTTTCATCTGTATATTCCAAAAAAAATGTTTTTCTTCATAATTAATAAATTTTTCATAAATGTAGGTTCAAGGTACCTTTCCCCCCTTAAGTAAGTTTACTCTTCACAAATATACGATCAATGAACGTTCAAGACTCTTGAATAAAAGCAGGATGAGTAATAGTATTAATTTTGGATTGATATTCGTTCCTACTTAAATCTTCAAAGATTTCTGAGCTCTGACTTCAAGCGCCAAAAGATCAATGTTAACATCACCTGTTATTATGTGATTATGCGTATCCTTGTTATCATTTAAAAAACTATATAGGTCGTTAATGAAACCCTCAGCATCATAATCGTGACACCTGTACAATCCAGACACTTTAAACGTACGTTCCCTTTTTGAATGAATAACAGCGCTTAATACTTTCAGTTGTCCATACTGCTCCAACGTAAAGTCAAAATTCAATTTGTCACTAACAAATATTACAACAACATCCGACCTATTTATTTTACTTTGATTGTCAAAGCACTTGTATTCATGCAGTACCACAGAAAGCCGGTGCTCCTTCAACCATGCCTCCGAGCAAACAATCACATCAGGTTTATGCCTGAAAATTGCGATCATTACTGCCAGTTCATTAAGATTTTTACACACGCTTCTGATATTTACACGTAATATCATCAGCTTAGTGCTTAAAAAGTTCAAGTCATCATTAATTACTTCAACCTCGCTAAAAATCAATTACTTGCTTGGATTAGTATCATTATTAACATTAAATATACAAGACATTAATGATTTTTATTCAACTGTGGATTCACTATTTTTACTAGGCGTGGTTGTAGGGTCCAGGGATAGTCCGTATTACTGACATATTACTCCCATTTTATCTTGTATGTTTCACATTTATCAATGTCCGTAGCTTCGTGATCAATTGATCTCTTTTTGACCAAGTATTTGTTTGCACTGATACATTAACACATTGTTTTACTTGAAAAGTACACTCTTTTTGGTCATAGTTACCTGTGCACTTAGAGCAGGCCACAGGTCTCTTACACACTTCTACACATTTTTTGCAACTGTGATTATAGCCACAGCAGTTTCGGCATCTATTTATATTAAAATAGTCAAAGACTTTACAGTTTTGGTATCCGACACACCAAAATCCTGTACTCATAATTCTAGCATGACTCGCCCGTCACTATTGCTAAGGCAGTCAAATTATCATTACGTTGTTTAAATGTATGAACAATGTTTGACATTCGAAATTTTGTACGATTTGTTTTGTATGGTGTGTTTACTGCAAACGTGTTTAATTATAAAAAAATATACACGCATATGCTTGTGACAAAATAAGTAGTGTGAACTTAGCCCCACACCAAATTAGTTTGATGCTGTGTTTGTTTCTATAGAACTATCTTAATTATTGGGAATGCGTCTGTAAAATAATCCAGATTTTACGTCTATTTGCCTAGGATTATGATTTTTATTGAATGAATGTGATTTTTAAAATTAAGTTATTATTATATACATAAATTTAAGTTCACAAAATAATATTTGGAATATTTTTCTAGGTTCGTAGTGAAACAACCCAGTTCTGAAGTTTCAATTGATTAAAAACTTGAAACATGTGGCTCACGACTTCAGAAGCATCGATGATGGGTTCAGAAGAGGTTGCTGCACGCTTGCAAGTAGATTCTAGAATGGGTCTTAGATGGGATGAAGTGAATCACAGAAAACAAATGTTCGGACATAATGAACTTGAATTACAAAAAGATGATTCTACGTGGCAAAAATATTTAGAACAAGTGAGTAATTTTAAGATCTGAGTTTCTCTATCTCGAGTGTAATAAAAAAGCGAAATCTACTGGCCAGCTTGCATCTTTATTTTTCTTCTCTATTTATCTATTTATGAATTGCATTTATACAAGCAGCCACAGTTCCACTAATATCAATACTGATAAAACATTATCCTAAACCTTTATAGGTTTTTTTTAAAATCTATTAAAAATAAATCTACACTTGGTAAAAGTAAACTGTTGATAAATAAACAATTAGATACATTGTTAAACTAATACCAAATTATGTAAGCTTATATTAATAATTGATAATGAAGAATTTTCTTATAAATTTTTTCAGTTCCAAAATCCATTGATATTGCTTTTGATCGGGTCTGCTGTTGTTAGTTTATTTATGAAGCAATTTGATGATGCAATAAGTATTACAGTAGTAAGTAAACGTTATGAATATTTTGTCTCTTTTTTCTTTATCATATAAATACATCTTATAGTCTTATACCTTTACAACCTCCATAATCCCAAACTTTCCGGATAAAAACGGGAAGCCATCAGTTAGTAACGATTGCCAACGAGGTCAAAATTAATAAATATTAAATTAAAAATTAGATATTTCCCTCAAAAATAGTTTTTAAATTACCATCTACCTCCAAATACCTTAAACATTGCAATCCTTAAACAGAGAAATCCAATAGTGACCTAGAATTTGACCTTGAACATAACCCCCAAGCTCCAGCGCCCGAAAAACAGATTTTTCAAATGAAAATCCCCATTTCTTATTGCAGATTTGAAAAGGGCAGAAAATTTTACGTTCGAATATGCCTTTACTTGTTTTCAATATCATTTCAAATACGTGGCAGACTCAAATGAAACCCCTTTTCACTTAAAATTATGCTGAAATAAGGAACTTATTTTTAAACTATAGTGCCCCCAAAATCATAATTGTAGTTTTTTCAAAATTAAAATGGGTTTTTACAATTTCACAATATTATACTTTTATTTTACAATATTTTAATGGTTAAATACATTTTAATAAATTAACTTACTCTTATGATTTTAGGCAATTATTATTGTTGTGACAGTTGCATTTGTTCAAGAGTACCGTTCTGAGAAGTCTTTAGAGGCATTGAGTAAACTTGTACCTCCTACGTGTACTTGGTAATAATACTTATTTTTTATGCAGTCTTATAATATTAGGAAATTGATTTTTATAATTGTAAAATGAAAAAAAGTAGTTCAATAGTTGAATGTAATTGATGGATTGTCCATTTTCTCCAGAAAAAATTGACTTTAATTTCCAAATTTGAATATCTGTAATATCTGTATTTAAATCACGCGGTTGCAGTGCTGAAGACTGGATGTGAAATTTAACTTGATAAAATTTACTTAACTATTTTATTGAATACAGCTAAACCTTTAAAAATTGTTAAGAAAAAGTCAAAATTTATTATCGTCTAATTGTTTAATACTGTATTTTTGAGAAAACGTTGCAATTGCATATGCAGTGTACAACCTGAGTTAAATTCTACTATTTTTAAACAATATTGTAATTAACTCATTCACGTTTATTTTCTTAATTTTTTTTTCTAGTCTACGGAATGGAAGCCTCACGACATTTTTAGCTAGAGATTTAGTTCCTGGAGATGTAGTTTATTTAAATGTTGGTGATAAAGTACCTGCAGATATGAGGCTTTTCGAAGCTGTAGAACTAGCTATCGATGAAAGCAGTTTTACCGGAGAAACTGAGCCATGTAAAAAAATTACAATGCCACTATTGAAATCTAATGGACATGACACAAAAAGAAATATCTCATTTATGGGCACCCTCGTTCGATGTGGAACAGGCAAAGTATTGTCTGATGTTTAAATCTCATTTCTATTTTTAGTTAAATTCATATTCTAAGTATTTCTGTTTTCATAGGGAATAGTTATAAATATTGGTGCAAAAAGTGAGTTTGGTGAAATATTTGCTATGATGCAATCTGAAGAAGCTCCAAAGACACCGTTGCAAAAAAGTATGGATACATTAGGAAAACAGCTTTCATTTTATTCTTTGTGCATTATCGGAATAATTATTGTATCTGGTTGGATACAAGGAAAAGCTGTATTAGAAATGTTTACTATAGGAGTGAGTCTAGCTGTAGCAGCTATACCTGAAGGATTGCCAATAGTTGTTACTGTGACATTGGCCTTGGGTGTTATGAGAATGGCCAAAAGAAAAGCAATCGTAAAAAAATTACCTACGGTAGAAACATTAGGTAAGAAATTACATTTATATGTTCGGACATATAATTCTAAAAAATATTTTTTGAACCCATTGAAATCACTCATAATAAATAATCACACTTATATAATAATAATCATTATTTTTATGAGGGGTTTGAACTCATTAGTTGATGGCGAAGTTAGTTGATCACTTACAAGGAGAGTTTTTCAGGTCCGGGTCATGGATTTGCTCCAAAATTTTTTTGGGGTCTGCTGGTACCCAATACTGAAACTCCCTGTGCTTAGTTCTATAGTTATTTTCTATATCGATATAGAAGTACTCAAACGAAAGTATGCAAACGAAAACGTAAGAAGAAACTCAAACGAAAAAATGCAACGATCAAAAGTTTTAAAATTTTTCAAAGAGTCTGCTTGAATTTTTTCAGAATTTTTGGGACCATCGACCACTCTCTTTAAGAAGTCCTAAAATCTATTAAAGGAGCGTCAAATTTGGGCCCTTTAAATTAAGTGACAAATGGTCCCAAAAATTCTGAAAAAATTCAAGCAGATTCTTTGAAAATTTTTAAAACTTTTGATCGTTGCATTTTTTCGTTTAAGTACTTTTATATCGAAATAGAAAATAACAAAGATTTTTTTATAATGTTGAAAATACTCTACAAAATGGGCACTAAGGCCCATTGGATCAAACTAAGCACAGGGAGCTTCAGTATTGAGTACCAGAAGACCCCCAAAAAAGTTTGGTAAAAATCTGTGACCCGGACCTGAAAAGCTCTCCTTGTTAGTACAGTCATTCACCAGATCCCATACTTGAAAGTAGACATACACCTTAGTCCCATTCGATGGTCCAGTCTGTTGTAATAACCCATCATTACCGTAAAATTGAATTTCGAACCGCGGTGTAACTTGTTACATTAATTATATTACTCATTCATCTATAATTCAGACACCTATGCATGTTCTTGCATACAAGGTTAGCTTTGATGGAGACCGTCAGATTTTTTCTCCTTTTTGTTTTGAAGCATCACTCCAATAATGTTGTCTGGTATAAGTGCTCTACAGGCAGTTTTCAATTCCCGTTTACTTCCCACAACACAAAAGAACGTGTTTTCAGCGTTGTTTCGTTCGTATCCACAGCACGCATCGTCCGGTTTTTGTTCTCTTTTCATTAAAAATGCAATGAATAAAATTTTTATTACTTGTTAAAAATTGGGTAACAAAAATCTAGAAAACCAAGCACTGCAGCATCTACGAAAATCACCCGGTCGTAACTGACTTTAGTTTATACTCGTTTACTACTTCTTGAATTGCTTCAATAGTGGATCGTCCTTTTCTAAAACTGTATTAACTTTTTACATAAAGAGGATCTAAAAAATATAGAAGTCTTTGCTACAAAATGCTCAAAATTTATAAGCATCATTCCTAGAATTTTTTTTTCTTAATCACTGCTGACAGACTAGAGCAAGTTGCTACTGTAAGGCTTAAAATCTAGCCTAGAGCTGTTTAAAAAGCAAACCCTTAAACAATCTTTTCGCTTTCAAGTGGTCTTAGCTGATTGTGCGTGAATGACTCATCGCTTAATCGCATTAGCTCATAAGAGTTACAAACAAGTCTTTGATATGTGTCCATTATGCTAACCCAATTGTCCTAACTTTATCTATTATTAATATTGTCCGTATCAAACAATGGAAGCCAAAAAATGTCACCTCAGAGTTTGAAGTCTTTGTTATTTGTAAGTCTTATGTTATCCTTTATGATATTGTTAAATCAAAAATTTTGAAGCGTAACATTGCAGTTTCTGATATTCTCTCAAGTTACAACTCTTTTATTCAGCGAAAGATGTCTCCGAATGAGAAAATTTCTCAATCCACTCTTAAGTTTTTGTAGGAGATAAAGCCCAAAGCGCATGTATGTGATTTTGAGAGAGTGAGCGTTGGCAATAAAGTTATTTTTGTGCGAAAAAATAGCTCTCTACGATGAATTCAAATTGATTCTTGATTACACATGACCAATAGTACATTACGCACCTAGGAAGCGAAAAAATGGAAAACCTCAGAACACGTGTTATTATCGTATATGAAGGTGAGGCTAAGCAAAATAGTAGATTACCGCCATAGGCCGCGAAAAATAGAAAAGTCCTTGAGTACGTGCAATTAGTTCGGCTTCACCTCGGTCGATAAATACTTGCTTTGGGGATTTTTCCCTTTTGAGGCTTAGGCATATATGCTACTTTTCTTACTCAGTGACCCGAAAATGCTGCTCTTCCCAGCAGAGAAGTAGTCACTTTAGGCTGCTGGTATGAAAAATGGCATTACTGCAGTCTTTCATTGATGCATTATTGCGGTTTGCGGGTGAGCAAGTCTTCGATTATATCAAAATTTCTTATGATAATATAAATTTTATCATTAAGAAACTTTGTTCAGGAATTGTTTAAACAATTAATAATAAATTGGATGGGTGCATGATCAGGTCTCAAAAGAAAACACTGCATGAGTCACAAGAATTTCATTTTCTCTATTTTCTTTATTATCACTCAAAATCACTGTTAATTTTAATAAAAAACTGAGTCTATATGTTGAAAATGTTGTTAACAATTATAAAGTAATTGAGTTCACTGATATTATGATTGATTTTACACTTGAGTTCACTCAGATAAATTGAGTAGTCGACGCGAAGCGAGATTGTATTAATTCACACTTAATTGTCAAGAGTCTTTACAAAGTTTGAGTTGTCAATACGAAGTTTGATTTCATTAATCCACTCTTATTTGCTGTGAGTTATTGCACTTGAGACGTGCAACACTTCTCTTGAGTTCACAGCGAGTTGAACTTGATTTGTGAGCAGACCGGAGCACAACGGAATAGGTTAAATTAATCCTCTCGTTTGCATGTGTGAGCAGCCGGATGAATTGACCGAGATCACGTGAGATTGCACATGGCTTCGTGTAACCTCACTTTCACTCGTCGTGTGCTCGTGCGATTGAGATGCGCCAAAATAATCCCGAGAGTTGAGGTGATGACAAAAAGATTCCACCAGGCCTGCTGTAGACATTATTGGTCTTCAATTACAGTTTGGATGGTTTCTTTACCTGGTCGCAATCGATGAGTTGACTCCGATTCGCAGACCGATGAGTTGCGCTTCGATGAGTAGAGCGAAGAATAGAGCTTGTCAAAACGTCCTTGTTGACTGGCTTGCACTTGTTGAGACGATCTAGAGCGGTCGAATTGATGAAGCTGTCCAAGGTGATGATGCTCGATGTAGCTTCTGTTGAGGTGACGTCGGGGATTTTCTCGCGGTTGAACCAGGTCGATGCACGAGACACGAGCGAGGTGCTGATTCGATGAGTGCAAAAACGAGAAGAACGAGATCGCGAACGATGCGCAGATAGCAGAGTTGCCGACGGCACGTGCCGAGGCGCGACGCCATCTCTCGCCGCGCAGTGAGAATCACTCCGATGCTTGCACAGCACGTGATCGTGTAAGTGTGTACAAGCCGCGCGCTCATCCTGTTCGAATATTTCTCGAACAAACTTGATTTCACTAAAAATTTAATTTACTAAAATCATCTTCACGCTCTTAAAGTTACAGAGACATGGTACAATTTAGAGGGTAATAATTTATCATATAATATGTCAAATTAATCACTTTTTTTGGATTGACTGTGGTTTAGTTGTAAAAAGTTACCGTATCGTCTTTCATTTGCACCTGTGTTTTATGATGCTTCTTTGCCTCATTTACTTATTGCGCTACTGTATCGGAAGTCTGGAAGACTTTTTACCCTCTTTTCTTATACTTCAAAACTTATCTCCCTAGACGATGTAGATTTAAACAACTGATGACTTTGACGATCTGCACACATTAATACACGGAAAGAAAAGTCCGTCATTCAACGCCAGAAAATTTTTAATAATGATATCACTTTTTTTTAGGCTGCGTGAATGTTATATGTTCAGACAAAACAGGCACAATAACGAAAAATGAGATGACTGTAACAGTCATTGTGACTTCAGATAATTATGTTGCCGATGTCACCGGATCTGGATATAATGCTAATGGAGATATTAAAATTCGTAACTGTGAAAGTATCGATTTTGCTCAGGCAGCTATCTACAATATTTTAGAGGTATATTTATTGATCTTATGTATAATAACTTTTGCCCTTTTGTCATAACTTGACTCTTTAGTTATAATTTCTAAAAAATATTTCTTTATAATACTGTGGCCACGGTTCTTTACAATACCACAAGCTTGTTGGAATATTTCTTTTATAGAAAGCTGGGTTAGAGCTGAATGATGACTGACTTGATTAACAAAACCACTTTTTAATATACATTTCAAGTATTTGATAAGTCTAGCTCAAATAGCTATATTATTATAAAATTATTGGAAGGTATTTATTTTATGCAGTGGTTTGCATATGCCTTAAAATACCATCGCTCGACGTATCTCGAGTTTCTACAGTAGCTTGTACGGTAGTGCATTATGACACTAATTTTTGAGTTATAACAATTTCACAGGCAAGCCTAAATCATCTTCTGTATCATTGAGAATGTATGACCAAGAATTTATTAAAAAAAAAACTAAAATAAATCTTAAAACTTTTTTATGGCAATCATGAAACATGTACATTGAGTATCATTGTCATCACTATGGAGTACAGTAAATAAATGTATTATAATATTATTTAAGGTATAATTCTTGAAAGGTCACAAAGCTTTAGAAGAAGGATAACATTTTTTTAATAAAATTGTATTGCAAAACTAAAGTTTAATTTGAAATTTATACTCAGAAAAGGTTGTAATTTACTGATTTTTTAAAAAAAATTTCTGCTTAAAATATTAAATTTTATCAATTTTTAACCATCTTTCCTATTTTTTTTTGTTTTTTGATAATTAGGATTAGAAAGTTTCTTAAATTTTCTTAAAATTTCCTTAAATTTTATATTTTCAGTTCTTAATTGAGCGACGGAATTTAAAATAAAAATAAAGCTGAACGATTTGATATAGGTTTGAATTAATTTTTGACCCATATTTTTTAATCGATTAAAAATCTTTCTGTTTATTGACAATGCAAAGGGAATACAGTTTAGGAAAAATTTCGACTTTTTGATCGCAGATGAACTTGCACCGAAACAATTTGAAAACCGCCAAAAAAAATTGATTTTTTCTGGGTATAAATTTCAAATCAAACGAACTTTAATTTTTGAACTACACTTTTGTTAAAAAAAATTTTTTTTCTTACTTAGCTATGTAATCACTTAACACGATGCTCTTCATGCAAAACATACACACACACACATCGTGAGGATTGCGCCGTGTTCACCCTGAACCGGTTTTGATAGTTTGAAGTTTAAAATCATAGTTCTAAAAAGGAGCAAAATCGGTCAACCCTTAAATATATTTCAAGCTCTATTCTGAGAGTAAAGATAATCTTAACAATACATTTTCTTACGTATGTGTATGAAAAATTGATTGCCGTAGTCAGTTTAGTCCTATGATTTCATTTCAAAGAAAAAATGGACTTTTTTCTTTTTGTGCGACAAAACAAAAAATCGTACACAAAAATCGCACAACACTCCCATGATGAAGTCGGAAGCGAGAACCACACTCACAAGAGGGCGCCGGATGTGAGAGCCAAGGCTCTGCTGGAACGCATGATGGCGCCTGAAGCGAGAACCACACTCGCAAGACGACAACAGAAGAGCGATTCCACGGATAGTGAGAGAGACTTCAACAAGTCCTCATAGAAGTAATCGAGCCGAAAAACATCGTCAGGCTCATGCTCGAGGCCGCAGACAATTGGATGGCGTTATCGCCTTTCGCGTAATCAGTCGTCTCCAGACTGAGGCAAGAGGTGTGAGAGGCATAAAAACTATCTGGACGATGCTGCAACAAGCAGACCACGCTTCTGGTTCCCGAACCCCTAATACCCGTAAGGTGGATGGGAGATGTACGGAAAAACACCGATGTAGCAGAGAAGCTCTAAAGAGTGCCCACCGAAGTAATGTCTAACGACGATACCGGTGGGTACTCGTTTCGAAAGGCCACTAGCTGTAGAGTTTACTCTACCCACGTAAAAAAAAAAAACACACGCACACATTTATCGGATATTGCATTATGATGTAATATCTCATGGTCTCATGGTGTCATGGTCTCTCTTAGAAGAAAACAAATGAACAGAGTTATTGACATGAATGTCTAAATTTTCACATACAAAAGAAAGGTTGAGATTATTTTTACATTTTTTGCGTTTTAGTTTTTTCGCCGAATCGCGATAAACAGAAAAATCTCATTTTTTAATAATTATAAATTTATTTGACTATAGTACAGTTTCAAATTTTCTATCCACTGAGTCATGGTTGATGATTTTCAAATGAATTTGCAGGTTGGGTGTGTTTGTAATAATGCTGTCATTCAAAATAACAAACTCCTGGGACAACCAACTGAAGGTGCTTTATTAGCTGCTGCTATGAAAAATGGAATGTATGGTTTGGCAGAACGATATATTAGACTTCAAGAATATCCATTTTCCTCTGAACAAAAAATGATGGTTGTGAAATGTGTTTCTAAAAATTTTGACGTAAGTTAATTTTTACATACCCAAACATTATCTTTCCACAATCGATGACAATTTCATGCTTTTATAGTTAATTAATTTTTTTTTAAGGTGATACCTTGGCCACAATTTTTTCCGACCGAGCACAGAAAATTTATATTTTCGTAACTTTTTTCCAGGCTGATTTTCGAAAAACGGCTCTGTGGAGCCCTCCGTATTGTTGCTGTGAACAACTGCGACAAATTGTAGCCAATTTCATCAGATAGTTTTCCCGGAAAACAGGATCAAAATTTTTTATTTTGCAAATAGTAATCAAAAATTTCGATCCTGTTTTCCGGAAAAACTACCCGATGAAATTGGCTGAATTTGGTGCAGTTATTCACACCTACAATACGGAGGGCTCCACAGAGCCGTTTTACGAAAATCGGTCTAGTAAAAAAGTTATTTCAATTTACATTTTCAATGTTCGGTCGATCAAAATTCGGGCTTCGGCATCACTTTAAATGTATTTTTAATTCATTCGGGTACCTGAGATTCTTGTTTTAATAAAATATGTATCTATTTTGCTCAAAACGTGTTCAGTAAGAAACAATTAGTTTATCTTGGTGAGCGGGTAAATAGTTGGACTAGCCTTATTCTCTTAAGATTGATTATATTTTATAAAAAAAATTATTCAGATTATTACTAATAAACGATATGATTATGCTATCATGTATTTTCATGACCAATGGTATTTTTTTTTCATTACAGAATCCTACTGAAATTTTTTTTGTCAAAGGAGCTCTTGAAAAAGTACTGACTCAATGCACAAAATACTCATTCAATGGCAAAGATTATCTTCTTTCAAGAAAAAAAGAAGAAGAATTTTTTTTGGATGCGTATAATATTGGACAACGAGGATTAAGAGGTGAGAATGTCTTATATATAACTATAAAAATTCAGTTTTTGCTCGATTTTTGACTATTTATTCGTACACTAAAAATTTAATTACACTGTTACTTGAATTTTATCATTTTCTAGTTATTGCATTGGCACGAGGCTACTCGTTACAAGATTTAGTTTATCTAGGAGTTGTTGGGATTTGCGATCCTCCAAAACTTCATATTCAAGAAACCATATCAAATCTTATTAGCAGTGGAGTGCGTTTTAAAATGATAACTGGCGATTCAATGGAAACCTCGGCTGCCATAGGTACGTAATTTATTTTTCAAGAGATTTTTCTCTTTAAAATGGATTTATCCATTTTTATTATTGAAATAAAACAATTTGGTAATGCGTCAATGATACAATTCTGGTAATGTGTTTAAAAAAAACTTTTATATAATTTAGGTAGCATGATTGGTTTAGATGTAAAACAGCAACATCTCATGTCTGGCGAAGAAATTGAAAACTACACCCAATACGATTTAGATGAAAAAATAAATAATACTCATGTTTTTTATCGGGTATCACCAAAACATAAAGTTCTTATTGTTAAATCTTTGCAAAAAAAAGGAAATATTGTCGGTATGATAGGAGATGGAATTAATGATGGTATTGCTCTGAAAAAGGCTGATATTGGAATTGCAATGGGCTTAAGCGGGACAGATTTTTGTAAAGAAGTAGCTGATATGATACTTATAGATGATGATTTTCAAACTATCATTTCTGCGATCGAAGAAGGAAAGAGTATTTTTTATAATATTCGTAACTTCGTGAGATTTCAATTGAGTACAAGTATCGCTGCCTTATCTCTGATAGCACTTACGACCTCTGTTGGTGTACCAAACCCCTTGAATGCAATGCAAATTTTATGGATAAACATAATTATGGATGGACTTCCAGCTCAAAGGTATTTGAATTATTATCTTAAAAAAAGTTTTTAATACTCAATTCACATCAAGATTTTACATAAATTATGTACCCTTTATGCGAGGCATTTTATATTTATGATTGTATTTTAAATTAATTAAAAGCACCTAAAAAAATCACGATAAATGTAGTCATAAGTCATCATGAATGAAATCATGTTTTAGTTCATGTATATATATTTAAAACTTTTTTTCTTTTTATAATTGCAGTCTTGGAGTCGAGCCTGTTGATAAAGATGTGTTAAACCAAAAACCAAGAAACATTCAAGAGCCCATGATCACAAAGTATGTTATCATGAATGTTCTACTTTCAGCAGTCACAATTTTACTTGGAACTCTATATGTTTATTATCTAGAAATGAATTCTAATGAAATGACATCAAGGAACACGACTATGACATTTACTTGCTTCGTTCTTTTCGATATGTTTAATGCACTTAGTTGTCGCTCTCAAGTAAGTTCTAAATATGAACATAGCAGATTCTATTTTAATTAATGTCAAATCATTAATAAGCTCAAGTAATTAATTCGAATGAAAAACAATTATTTATGCAACAAGTGCCCAAAGGCGTTTTTGCGCACAGTGTATGCACAAATATTGGCTACATCGACAGAAAAGGGACACGTGCACACTATGTGGAAATAGCTGGACACGTGTTCAATACGGAAATTTATTTAATAGTATGCAAAAAAGCATAAATAACAAAAATGATATTTCACAAAATACCAAAAATTTTACGCACGCCGTGTCTAAATAGCTCTTTATGGTACAAGTTCCATAAGTAACACTTTCTGACACGGCGTAATTTAGGGCCTTAGCGCAGCGAGGGTATAATAGCTGCGTCAAAAAGTGGCCCCTATGGCACGAGTATCTTACTCAATTTTATAGCACTGAGCTAAGTCTTCATTTATGCTCTTTTTTCCGAGTATGAGTTGCAGTTTCTGGTAGAGCGGAATGAGATAAGCGCACTGGCATAGCGAGTGCGATGCGAACAACGTGGTGTCAGAATGTGCTACTTATGCCATACAGTGCTCTAAAAGCAATTTTTCACTTTGCTATTGCATCAAATTTTGTATTCAAAAAAAAAAGTTACTTTCTCCGGCATATCAGGCACTCGTGTCTCCTCTCATCTTTATGTTTTTTCTCGTACTGGTAAACCTGGAACTTGCACATACACTGTGCGCAAAAATGCCTTTTAGGTACTTATTGCATAAATTAATATAATCTTATTACTAATGATTAATTTTTTCAGACAAAGTCTATTTTTTCTGTCGGATTTTTCACCAATAAGACTTTTCTAGTGGCCGTAGCATTGTCCTTACTAGGCCAAATACTTGTGATTTACTTTCCTCCACTACAAAAAATTTTTCAAACGGAAGCTTTGTCCGCAAAAGGTAATGAGTAATTTCTTTTACTAATGCAACATTCAAATTATTTTTATAATATTTTCAAAACAATTTCCCAATCATCTAAAAACTTCATACTTTTTCAGATTTGGTATTTTTAACTGCTCTAACATCTAGTGTATTTATTGTCAGTGAAATAAAGAAATTCATTGAGAATGTGTATTTGAAGCGAAAAAATGTTCAAAAAGATTTACAACTTTTAATAAATCATGTTTAATAGATCATTGTAAAATTTTTTTCCTTATTCGTACCCATAACTACTTATATATGGGTCATATCAGAAATGAGTTGATAGGTCCAAAAATGACCTATCAACTAAATGCATTTCTGAAAACTAACTTTTTTCTCCATAGGCCCAATGTAGCTCTGAAAAATTAATCAAACATAGTATTTTTATGTATTTTTTGATAAGGAATTCATTGGTGATATGTAAAAAGTGATTCAGATACTCTTACACCATTAAAAATCAAAAAAATGCATTTTAGGCCCAAAATAGATGTGTTCGTCCTCTAGGATTTGCCTGAAATTAATAGAGTATCATTACAACATCAAATTAAAGCCCTCTACCAAGTGGTATTATCGGTTGGCCAATATCAAGGAAGATATACTATGAAATGTGGCTATCATTCACTTTTACATCATGATAGACTGAATGTTGACTATCAATACTGCCTAGAGCAATGAACTGCATTAAAAGCAAGATAGAAACACTAATTTATCTTTTTAAAGTTCAATCACAAGTACTTTCTGCACAGAGTTCATATTCAATACTACTGTGAATAAAACAAACACCTTATTCATATGTAATCAATTAATAACTTCATTTATGCTAGATAAGTAATACTAGTATGCACTGTTTGGATTGAATATTACTGTTACGGCTGGAGAGCCGATTTATTATAAATAATATATATTGATTTTATTCTGGCTGGTGACAGCGAGGGAAAGTATATATGATGTGAGTTATTTGCGTGGAGAATTCGTTATTATTTATTATAATAAATTACAATGCAATATCATTCATCCATTCAAATACAAAAGTTTAACTTACACCTAGGCTTACTGAACTAATTGAAAATAATATACATAAGCCTGGTGGACGATTCTCGATGTAGATACTGGCTCACTCTGCAACTGGTTGGCTGGTGTTCCTTGTTGGCTGCACTGCACTAACTGCACTAGTCTCGATTACAAATTACACTCCGCATTGGACTCGCGGCACAATTTAATACAAGTCTAATAACATAAAATCGCGGTACAAAGTGACGTGAGCTCTGCACACCGAATAAGATGATAGTCGAATCGCACAGAGGCTTCCGTGGGTCCTCAATATATACTACTAGATTTTGCATACAAAAATAGGAGAAAGTACCTGTCAGCACCTGCTCATCCGTGAGAACCTGACGACAGCTTTTGCTAATTTTTACGAGTTCATTGATCTTCCTGCTAAACTGACATCGCCTCAAATTTAATCAACGCTTTGTATGGCGTGTCTATTTCACACCTTTTGTAAGAGGTGTTGATTTCGATGTTCTTTTCATAGAACTCGATGTTTTTACCAATTTTTATAGTTTTGTTTTTCACTTAGCTTGATGTCGTCAGACCCCGTCGATTGATGCTGGCGCGTCCGCTCGTAGAGTGAAATTTCATGTTTATCGTTATTTGATTATACATTATTTTTATGAATATTATAATTGTTTATAATAAAATAAGGGTGACGTGACATTACTTTAGCGTTTGTTTCATTCACAGTGGTATTAAATATGAACTCTGTGCAGAAAGTACTTGTGATTGAACTTTAAAAAGATAAATTAGTGTTTCTATCTTGCTTTTAATGCAGTTCATTGCTCTAGGCAGTATTGATAGTCGACATTCAGTCTATCATGATGTAAAAGTGAATGATAGCCACATTTCATAGTATATCTTCCTTGATATTGGCCAACCGATAATGCCACTTGGTAGAGGGCTTTAATTTGATGTTGTAATGATACTCTATTAATTTCAGGCAAATCCTAGAGGACGAACACATCTATTTTGGGCCTAAAATGCATTTTTTTGATTTTTAATGGTGTAAGAGTATCTGAATCACTTTTTACATATCACCAATGAATTCCTTATCAGAAAATACAAAAAAATACTATGTTTGATTTATTTTTCAGAGCTACATTGGGCCTATGGAGAAAAAAGTTAGTTTTCAGATTCTAACTTTGAGCAGCTGTAGATTTTGAAGGAAGGAACCATGGCACTTTTTAAACACGTGAAAAGTTTTGTTTTTTCATAAACTTTTAAGAAATGCATTTAGTTGATAGGTCATTTTTGGACCTATCAACTCATTTCTGATATGACCCATATGTTACAGGCAAAACGCTTTTAGGCAAAAACAGAAATGCCTATGATTTTAGAACAGAACCGAAATGCCGTTAAAATTATAGAATATTCCTAAACAATTTAGGCAATACCCGAAATGACTGAAAATTTTTAGGCAAAACAAGCAATGCATAACCGATTTCATGCATTTTCGTGTAGCCCCCTCGGAGTCTTCGGTCGGTCATAATATTATCTACATAAATACTAATGCTTCTGTACGACTGCAGGAATTTTCTTGATTTGATTTATTGTAAACCATGAATAAATAATAAGTAATGAATAAATAATAATAAATAAATAAATAATAATAAGTAAGTTTTATATAAAGTACTAGCCTTGAGGCATTTGTCAAATATCATATTACTGATAATTCATTACTTATTTAGACAAGTTGTGCTATTGTGGCATTTTAGGTTACAAAGCACATTATTTTTTGTACAAATGCAAATTCTGGTAGTACAGTTTTTTTTACCCAATCACCGATCGTTATGGGCTTTTGTTTATTGTCTGAGTGTGTTTTTATTCACTTAGCCTGATGTTCCAAAGCTTCAGCGGCCCGTTTCCTTGCTTTGAATATTTTTATAGTAGAATTTTCTGGTTTTGGAGCATCTGTCTGTGGAGGCTTAGTTTCAATGTCTGGGGGCAGCTGAGGCACAGTTTCAGGTTCTTGACCTTGACGATTCCTCTATCCAATTAGATTAGTGCCTTGTAGCGGTAACAAAAGTACTACGTAGTGTTTATGTCGATAATATCATGACCGACCGACGTCTCCGAGGGGGATACACGAAAATGCCTAAAATCGGTTCCTATAATTTTAACGTCAGTCATGTCCTTTTGCCTAAGCAAAAGCCACTTTTGCCTAAAAGCGGGGGTTGCCTGTAACATATATACTATAAGGTAAACGGGGAGAAGTAGATGAATACAGTAATAATATTGTAACGGGGGAAGTTACGAGTGAAAGGGGTAATTGATGATTGCGTTTGTCGCGCTAGCGACCGGATCCGTGTTACCTAGAAAAATAGAGACAAGAGGGGAAAGGCAAACAAAAGTGAGACGGGTGAATTAAATTAAAGAAATATGATAAATTATTATTGATAATATGGGTCGAGTACAGCCGTGCTCAGGACGGCAACGAGGTGCAGTACCACGGCACGCGCGAGTGTTCGCTTAAACCAGCGAACGCGAGTCGCAATGCAAAGAGAGAGAGAGAGGTCGAAACGAAACTGGCACTTACATGCAGTTGCCTCCGGTTGTGATTCCGCGGCCCATCGACGACGCTGGATTGCAGGGCACACACACACACACGCTCCCGATGCACTCGTGGCACTCCTCAATTTACGCGGCGTGATACGACGCGACGCAACTACAGCGGGCTGCGATTCGCTAATCCGAATTTCTTTAATTATCGTGCAAGCGCGACTTGCTTACAAGCTGGCCCAAACTGTACTGTGTGTAGCTTCTCTGTTCGCACGCGTAAATCTTTGCCATGCGCTCGCGAGGTTCGCGCAGTCTTTTCCGCGCACGTGAATTTATGTCTCTTTCTCTCTCTCGTGCGATCTGCCGTGGTCGCGCTTCTGCACCTGTAACAAATCTCATAATGAGTATGACATGTTCGAATATTGGCTTTGGGGGAGAGAGACGAGATCCTGTCTGGATTCTCGTCACAATATAGGGGAGAGCGGGGTGTGTTGGCATATGAGGTAAGTTGTCAAAAATGCATATTTCTCCATACCACTAGCTTGTATAGAAATAATACTATCAGTAGTGCTAACACCATAATAGGTTGTATTTGTATGCAATGGCACCATATCGGTTCAAGTCACTGATAAGGAGAAATATGCCATTTTGCCAACTTACCTCACATGCCAACACACCCCGATCTCCCCTATAACAAAGACTTTGATAGAAAATATTAATACAATTTATTGGTGAACTGATTAAGCAATTTGTTTTAAGTCGTATTTTGGTATATGAAAAAACAAATGACATCTTTGGCTTATTCGATAAAGACGAACAAATTGGTTTTCAAACTTCTCTTTTTTTTATTTTTAAAGGTTTTAAGATAATTGAGAAAATTTTTTACAAACATTTTGAGTTATCTTTTAAATGGTCGCTTTGAGAGCAGAACGAAATTTTATTTGAAAAACTAAACCTTAAGAGATTTAAAATTTTTCACGCGCCGAAGTTTATCATTTGAATAAATTGTAAAAATATGTTTAACTTAAAAAATTTTAAATTGCCGATTTCTTCTCTTTTTCGTGGTAGATAGTATAATTCAGTGTAGGATCATCTGAAATCTAAAAGTCGATATTTTGCTTCCTCATCGATTCCATCTCACAAGTTGTTTACCATTTATCGAATCAATTATAAAGATCATTTCGTATTTAGTTTAATAATCTTAACTGTACGTCATAAGTTAGATTCGTAAAGCTTTCAGTTTCTTAAGGCTATATAGGCACTTTAAAAAAATCGAAAATTTTTCTATTCTAATATATTTTTAAAGGATTTGTCTTTCCTTTTTCATTACATTTTTTAAAACTCTAAAAAGTTGATTTTTTACTGAGATACAGCACTTTCTTTTGCATTTTCTGGCCAATCGTGTATTTGATCAGAGCAAGATTTTGAGCTACCGACCAGGGTTGCGTCAAAATTTTCGATAAGCACTCAATTAGAATGTGAAAGTTTCTTAATCTCTGATTAAAATCGTATAATCGATTAAGCATTTTACGACGTAATTGTACGATAATCTTACATAAGAAAATATTTTTTGGTACTACAAATTTAATCTATGTTGAATAAAAATGTATTATCTATCATGAGATGTTGCTGGTCATTTAGTTGAATCCATCTTTTCATATCACTTTCCTGAATGCTTTTTTCCACATACAACACACCCTTTCAAACTACAAATTTTTCATTGGAAGCTTTGGCTTCTATAATCCATTTTTCCTAAAAACAGCGTTTTTCGGCTTTAGACGCTATCACTTTCAATTTAAAAATCTGAAAAAATGTGAGGTTATGTATTTTGATGAAAAAAACGTGAAAAAAGTTTTTTCAGATTTTTCGAGGTTCCTTATAGTCTTAAAAAAATTATTTTCTTTAAATAGGGGGTTTATAGCTTCAAAAGGTGTGTTCACAAACCCGAAAAAATTTGAAAAATTTTAGGTTACTTTTATCAATGAAATAAAAAATAGAAAAAATTTTCAGATAGGTTATTGCATCCTATCGCCGTATCTGGACTTTTAAAATGTTCAATGATTTTATCTGAAAGCCTAAAGCACTCGTAAAATCTGAAAAAATTCAAGGTTGTTTTGGTTTTGGTTTTGGTTTTCGGACCATTTTACTATGTACTACAACATACCAAAAGCGCGTCAAAATCGGTGACATACGTGCGGACGAAAATTTAAAAAAGTAATATTTTGACCCATATATAACACGGCCCTCCTATTGTAATTCGTCCTAGATCAATATCTCACAGCATCATCATAGAAAAGCGAGATGCAGAGTGAACGTTTAAGCCCAGGCTACAAATAAAATCGCCTATATTTCATATACTTAATATTATTCTATTTTTGATACATTTGATTAAAATGTGCTTGAGGATGCACTTTCCATCACTGGCATAGTTTGAGACGCATAAAGATTAGAGCTAATCAATTTTCTTTTGCGCTTCTAAACAGCTCGACCCGGGGGAACGGGTTGAATCGCCCGGGCATGTAAGGTTTACCTTGAAAAAAACCAAGTCACCTACGTGAAATTCATATGTCGCACTACGATTATGATCTGAGCGTTGCTTCATTTTGGCTTGTGCTTCGAGAATTTTGGTCGATGTCTCGGCATGAAGGTTTGAATGATTCGCATCATACTGTACCTCCGTCTCGACAAAATCATGTAAGGCACCTTCGTCGGGGCTGGGCACATAACCATACAATAATATGAACGCACTCTTTCCCTTGCTGGCATTGTACGATTAATTCAAATCACACTGAATTCTCTTTAATTTGACGTCCCAGTCGGTAGTATCTGGTTTTTCGATAATAGCTTGCATCAATGGTATCAGTGTGGCATTACACACGTTCGCACTGGCCGTTCGCTTGCGGGTGCCTAGAGTTTAAATCGATCCAAGGTTTTCCCGCCATAAAAATATCATCTAAGAATAATAACACGAGCTGATGACGCAGTGGTTGTAAACAGTTTAGAAAAATAAGCGGGGCCGTTCGTAAGTCCGAATATCAAGCGATTAAAATCAGCTCTTTCATCAGGAGTTATTATCGCGATCTTATGTTTTGATTTCTCAGCTATTGGCAGTTGTAAATAGCCGTTAAATAAATCGAGCGTGATCAATAGCCTATTGTTGCTGATTTCCGCGAGATGCTCGTCGGTGTCAGGGAACAGGAAGTGCATGAGCTGCGTTTGGTTGTTAAATTTGCGAAAATCGACAACAACCCGCGAATCACCGCATTTTTTCTTGCTCTAAAACACTTCCTCGATACGGTTTGGTTTTTCCGTTAATTTCGACCTCTATACAGCGCGTGCATCCTAATTCGCTCATGTTAAGCTCTAAGCAATCGCAATATTTATTAATAATACGCAAAAGATCTTGAATTATCTCCGTTGGCTGGTCTTGACCGACGTCGATTTCTTCTCTTGCGATAGCTCGTCTCTCTTCTTTGATCT